GCAAACCTCATCAAGTTAACCCTGTGTTATTTTAAAGAGCCTTCCTGATTCTGAAACTTTTTCTCAACTAATCAAGCACATCCAATGTTATCATTCTGTGTTTTGTCTCCCCCCCCACCCCCACTTTGGATTATATGTTTGCATAAATGCTGCTGCTTTTGCAGAAGGGGTGGGGGGGTGCAGTAGCACATTCACCTAGCTAAGAACTGAAATGGCTAGCAAATGCCCAATAATATAATATTGTGGTTGGCCCTTCCTGGGAGTGTTGAGGTAAGGACTCCATGGGTGTTGTAAATTATACCTCTCTGCTGTAAACAGCAGAGGAGGAGATGATGGTCTCCATTAGGTTTTCACACATGTTGCTTTTTCGGGTAGATTTCTTCCCAGAAGCAAAAGCCATTGTAGCTTATATGTGTGTTATTTTTCTGTATCCCTTCATCTAGTCTTCCTTAGATGTTGCTGTTCCTCTGACATTATCTCCCCATGAAGAGTAAATGCTTCAGTGAAGCAGAGGAGATTGCTTGCCAGCGGTAACGTGCTTACGGATTTTGTGCTTGGTGCCCCAGTTATACAAGAGGAAAGCACTTCAGATATTGTCTGGTTTTTCTTTCTTTCTTTTTTTTCCTGGAGTGGCTCCCACTGAGAAGTTTCATTTTTGTTTTAACAAACTTCATTTCCTCTCCTTAGTTTTTTTTATTCCACGCTAAATAAACACTGTGAATGTAATCAAGTGGAAGTGAAGGCAGATCATTTTGAGGAGGTCTTAATTCAGTGGGAGAGTTACATGCTTTGCATGCAGAAAATCCCAGGTTTGATCCCTGGTGTTTCTGATTAAAATGGTCTCGGGTGGCAGAATTTTTTCTTTCTTTCCCTGAGACCTGGAGAGCTGCTGCCAGTCAAAGTGGACACTACTGGGTTGGATGGTCCAATGGTCTGACATAGCATAAAACAGCTTCAGAATCTCCCCAAGGCATTGTAGGTTGGTGTGCCATTGGATGATTTTTTTAATGACTCTGTAGCTCTTCTTGACACACAAATTTGTGCAAATCACACTTTTGATGCCAGGTATTCTTAGTTATAAGAGGGAGACCTAATCTCTCCTCCAGTAAGTCTGCAATGGATGGGCTACTTTAAGACAAGCTGTTTGTTCCTTGGCTAAATACTCCCTTCCCTCTGGTGTTCAACAAAAAGGTACAGAACCAACTTTCTTCTCCAGGAACTCACACACACAATAACAGCATCTGTGTCTGGACAGATTGAGGGGAAAAATCAGAGTATAGAATACAGAAAGAAGTAATATGAAATGTATTTGAATATAAGTAGCTCGGGTTGGTAGTTGGGCTGTTGGGCTGACCTCTGAGCTTGGCAATTTGGTTGCAAATGTTTCGTCCCCATTTGAGGAGAAATCGTCAGTGCACTTTGAATTGTGCTCATCTTCCTTGATAGTCTCCCTTGATACACTCAGAATAGTTACTAGTAGGAAAGATAGCTACATCTGCTAAATTCTTTCAGTAACAAATAACTCTAAGGGAAAAAATAAATTAAGATGGACTAGAGATGAGAAACACCTTCATAAGAGAAGGGAGGTGAAAATCTCATCTGGTTATTATGACTTCTTCTACCTTTCAGCAGTCCAGCACTGATTGAGAGTCGTTAGCATTTCTTGGATTGAGAGTCGTTAGCATTTCTTTTACTATGGATGTAACACATAAAGTGCTTAGCAGAAATAGGCTAAAGTGAAATTTGGCTGAAAATTTATTTGTTGGCATTGTTACACTGGGTGTGGACTCCAAACAAGTGCTGGACACTGTAGTTATGATATTTTCACACCAAACCTGTACAATAAAACTTAGCAATAGATAATCCTAACATTTGCTCTTCTGAGTCCTGGCATGTGCTGAACCAAATTGGATGAGATGATACCATGGTCAGAAGTGTTGGTCTCTACCGTACTGTCAAAATAGTAATTATATTTGCTTTTTAAAATCAGAAACTAGATGTTGGATGTAACAGCTGCCCAAAATCAGCAGTCCCATGTCTCTAGCTCAACTCCTATCTGTCTCAGGATTGTTTAGTAATTGAAAATATGTAATGAAATCAAATTACCTGGCCATCCATCTCTCTGAACAGAGGCCAGGAAATGAATGGGTTCATTACGCTACATCTCAACTTTCAGATTATTGGAACTTCGAGGGCAATAGACAGTCAAGGCTTCTGGCCCTCAGAAAACAGGTTGTATATAGCCTATTCTACATTTTGGGCATAATTTTAATCTCAGCCAGAATGTATAAAAGGGCATGGAGACAGATTGTAAAGGCTGCTCTACTCTCATCTTCTTTTCTATGGCAATGCTGAACCTTTGCTGTTAGGAGGAAAAGTCAGCTGTGAGCCTACTGATCCTTAAGGACATTAGGTTTTGGGGCACCCCATTTTCTCCTCTTGTCCTTCACAGAAGATCTGTTTCTGAGACAGGCTGGGAATACAAAGACCACGCAGATAGCAACAGCATTTAGACTTATACACCGCTTCACAGTGCTTGAGTGGTTTACCAAGTTGGCATATTGCTCCCAACAATCTTATTTCTCCTTTTAACAACCTCAGAAGGATGGAAGGCTGAGTCAACCTTGAGCTGGTCAGGATTGAACTCCAGACTGTTGGGAAGAGTCAGCCTGCAATATTGCATTCTAATTAGTGTGCCACCACGGCTCTTCACCATGATGATGATGCAAGAACTATCCCGTTGACAAAATGAGTGACCTTCCTAGTCTAATATTTTAAATTAAAGACAAGGAATTATAAAAATTATAATTAAGGCATCTCCTTAAATATCTACAATGGGATGAGTAACAATTAATTTAATTTTCTTATACTGGGCATTAGATCATTCAGACATAATACACGTGCCTTGTTTCTACCATCCAGAAGCATATTTGCTTCTTAAGCCTTTCCTTCTTTTTTGTAGAAAATAACCACAGTTCATGTCCCAATGCCCACCGAGTTTCTGTATTCTATTTCTTCTTATGAGAAGAATCATTAAAGATGTTAAAAGATTGCTGTTTTTTTTTAAAAAAATACAGCAATCTCCTTATTTAAGATAAACTTTTAAAAAATAAAAATAAAGGAAGATTTGTTCTGCAGTTTTAAAATATGCCATTAAAAATGTTGGTTCTGCTGTACCTTTTAGAAAGTAGAGGTTGAAAAATAGGATGGAATTAACCAGACACAACAACATTGTCGATGTCCTATTTGCTCCTATTTTTGTCTTTTTTGAGCAACATTGCATAATAGCTGTCACCAAAAAGGCTCTAGTGAGTTTAAGCTATTTATTACAGAGTCCTGGTATTTCACTGGCACTTAGCTTTCTTAATATGTGCCAACCTGAAAGGTATGGGATTGTCCTTCTCAGATGGAGAGAAATACTATTTTTCGAAAAATCTTTACATTTAGTTCCTCCATTCCTTGTTGTTACAGTGATGACCAAATGCCTTGGGAGCTCATTGTAAAACCCAGACTTTATCTTTATAGTCCGACCATAGAGAATGCTGTGTCCTTGGAGGCCATTATTTTCAATGCCCAGTTTGGGCATGAAATGACCATTGGTCAAAATTCTTCACTATGTTTTTGAGTAGTTGTTCTTTTCTCAGTGATGGATTTAAATCAGAAGTAGTACTATTGAATGCTTACTTGCTTAAAAAACTGCAGGTTTTTTTAGGATGTTCCCTCAACTTAAGCCTCTTGCGTGAGGTAGAAAGATGTCATTACCCCTCAGGTAAAACTGTTTCACGGTTGAGTCCCACAACTGATGTTAAGGCTGTAGAGAGGGCAGGATGGAACATCTGTAGTAATAGCACCTTAGATTTCTTAGCTTTCTACCATGTAATACTTTATGAGAAATCAATGTTCCTTATCATTAATAAACTGTCATAATCATCCTTAAAGGCGGGGATAAATAGGGAAAATAACACATGTAGGAAATTAGATAAATAATATCTGAGTCAACACACTAGGGTGGTTCTGTGCTGGCATGAATTGATCTTTCAAAATATTATGGGCCAGAGGGAAATCTAGCTAAGGTATTACAGAAAACATAAGCACTGTGACTGTAGGAGCCATAGAACCCACCTGAATAACAGATGTAAAACTTATCCAAAATTACCATGTAATTTTGTCAGCAGATCTGATAAGCAAGTGGCCCTATGTCTCTGTGCTCTTATCAATCAAATTTGATTGAAATAGTTTTTTTGCACTCCAGTTGTGTGCAATTAATTATTCCTACCTTCAGCATCATCTGTGTGGATTGACTGAAACTGAGCTATTCAGCTAACGCACAGTACAGTACCGACTGAACAGGCAGAAACCTGCATTTGAGCCATTTCACAGTTTGTGATACTCTGATGTCATCAATGCCAGAAGGACCTTTAGATCAGGGATCCCCAACCTTTTCGACGCCGCGGCCCGGTTCCGGCATCAGCTGGGCGCCGCGGCCCGGTACCGGCGTCAACTGGGCGCCGCCATCTTTTTATGACGAAAAAGCGCTTCCGGTGAGCTTTCTACCCGGAAAAGCTCACCGGAAGCGCTTTTTTACCAAAAAAAGATGGCGGCGCCCAGCAACCAGCGGCCCGGTAAGGCTTGTTCCGCGGCCCGGTACCGGTCCGCGGACCGGCGGTTGGGGACCCCTGCTTTAGATCATGTTTAGTTTTGTTTGGGGGCTTGGCATTGTTGATTTTTTTTCTTCTTCTTACAGATGTAAAGTTGCCGATACAAAATTACATCTATAAAAAAAAAGTATAATTTGCAAAGAACACTTTGGAAACAAATAATATGTAAGGATAAAAGATGAATTTTTAGGTAGATTTAAAAAAAAAAAAACCTTTTCCCAGCTTTACAATGTTTAACTGGGCATGATGAAAATTATAAATCAAATATCTGGATAGCTTTAGGTAGTGGACCTAGATCGAAAGGACCTACCCCTGCCTTTGAACCCTTTCCTCTTACCATGGTTACATGAGATCTCTCACAATGTTTGAAGGCAGAACATCTCCAGCTACATTCCTAGTCCCTATTCCAGTCTTTTTCTTGGTCAGGAGCACCATGACTTGCACAGTTCGCTTAAAACTTGGCTGGCAAGCTCTTCCATCTCTCAGAATGGCAAGAGGGTTAGTCTTGGAGGCTGTATCAGATTTCTGGGTGAGCCTATAGCACCGGGGATAATTGCTGAAGCATTCGAAAGTGTCAGAACAGTTCCTACAGGATCCGCGGTGGTCGGTGAAAGCGGCAGAGAATCTCATGGAAGCCCGGCCATCTGGCGTGTGGAAGGATCGAAGGGTGATGACCCTGGACCGGCTGCAACAACAGCAGACTGCACACACTGCCTGGAAGAACGAGAGGTCTTTAGAAAGGAACTTCTGGAAGTTGGGCTTGAAGAGCAGATACACCAGAGGGTTGTAGGTGGCTGAGGACTTGGCACAGACAGCAGACAGGGCAAAGGCCAGGATTGGCACTTTGCTGGCATCGCCGAATGCTGCCCACATAGCAACAATGGCATAGGGGGTCCAAGCAGCCAGAAATCCAATGCACACAGAAACACTGAGCTGGAAAAGAGAAGGAACAACCAAGAGGAAAATCGTAATATGCTCCACGTTTTGCTTCATTTTAAGGTTCTGTAAGGGGATTCCTACATTGCAATAAGACAAGAGTGCAGACAATGGGGAATAATTCTAGTACCCACACAGCCTTTTCTGTGACAAAAAATGGAAGATCATCAACTTCAGATCCTTCCTTCCTTCCTTCCTTCCTTCCTTCCTTCCTTCCTTCCTTCCTTCCTTCCTTCCTTCCTTCCTTCCTTCCTTCCTTCCTTCCTTCCTTCCTTCCTAACAGATAACAGATAATCAGAGTTGGAAGGGACCTTGTAGGTCATCTAGTCCAATCCCCTGCCCAAGCAGGAGACCCTACACCATTTCTGACAAATGGCAGTCCAATCTCTTCTTGAAAGTCTCAAGTGATGGCGCTCCCACAACTTCCGAGGGCAAGCTGTTCCACTGGTTGATTGTTCTCACTGTCAGAAAGTTTCACCTTATTTCCAGGTTAAATCCTTCCTTCCTTCCTTCTTTCCCTGCCCCCTCCTCATTCAGCTTGGTATGGTCTAAGTTTATGAACATTATCTTTGCAGGTAATGTATTGAATGTGAAAAAGGAATAGCTTTCATTTCCTGTGCATGAGATTTTGCTTTGTTTCTTTAAAAGATAAGGTAAAAATCTCCCTAGAATCAAAGCCGACTTCTCTGGATTATATGGAGATATCCAAATTTTCTTGGGAACAGTAGAGAAGTGGTTGCTATCCTTCCAATGTTTCCAGTTGCTTCTCCTATAAAAGCAGGACTGCATCAGAGCTAAGCAATGTTTTGCAACTGAATAGCATCATCATAGCATCATTCTGTACTCAAGAGATCTAGCTGCCGGAAGATAAATAAGTATCTATCACACTTCTGGAGGGAAACTATCTACGGTAGCTCAGAATAATATGCTGCTGGCATGTATATTTAATTAGCCTGTAATTAATGAGTTAATTAATTCAACTGGTGATTTGGTTAGTGCATTCAACCAGATGATAAACAAGCCCTGGAGTTTCTCTTCTCTTTAGATAAGCAGGCTGTGATATGCTGCTGACATACTGCTTGCTGATCAAGAGGGTAAGGTGTGTACACAGTTAAATTAAGTTGTCAAATCATGACAGGCAGCCGTGCAACATGAATGAGCAAATCATCCTGATGTAATAGAACTCTCTCTCTCTCATTTTATCTTTGCCTGCTGCTGTGCCCGCTTCATCATACCACCTCTGTTTTCCAATGGCATTTTCGTGGGGGAAGCATTTTTCTTTTTTTTTAAATCCCCCAAATTGAAGATTCTTCATATATGAGGATTCTCAGGGATTCTGGAATAATAAACTATTGCCGAGAAAGGGCGGTAGGTGCATTTAGACCAGTAGCAGGGATGTCACTGAGAGTGGATACCGCAGCTGTATGACTTCGAATAACTTTCTAAGCAGATGGGCACTCTCCTGCTTTCCTCCACTCACAACCCTCTTATGACATTTATGTGCAGACTCACACTATAGGCTCTCTTTAGACACCCAGCAATAGCAGCATGAACATAACTTATTTGCTGCTGTTGTGGTTTTCTTGATGAAGATCAAACTCTGTTTGAAACAGACAGATGTACAGTTTGGGGGGGATCCATTGCACCATGCCATCATCGTTTCTTTATGCTTTGTATTTCCCAAGATGCTTTGGCAAGCAGCATTAGTTATTCAAGTAGTGTTTAAACCAGGGGTGTCCAACCTTGGCAACTTTAAGACTTGTGGACTTCAACTCCCAGAATTCCTCAGCCAGC